CATTTCCTTGCATTCTCTAAGTAATCAAAATTCTGCCGTTAAACAACAGGAAAAACCAATGCTACCACCACAACGCAGTACACCAGCACAAAACAGTCATAAATTCAACAAAGCAACAACCAAAAGACCAAGAACCACCATGGTTGGAGGACGCTGGTGATGCTACGAAACGCTGGGAATGCTTACAAGGTGCGGAGGATGTCCGCTGATACGAGTCGCTGATACCGAGGTTGCTGATACGGAGATGCTGATACGGAGATGCTGATACGAGTTGCTGATACGGAGATGCTGATACGAGTTGCTGATACGGAGGCGAGTTGCTGATACGCTAGTACGATACAAAACAATACAGAGGGGATATAAAACACTAGTACCATTACTATCTCTCCTATTTTCATGCTTTTATTATTATTTCTATTGCAACAAGGAGCACCATGGTCGTTGGCGCTTGTCTTGTATTTCAACACTGTATTGTTGTGCAGTAGCACAGTAGTTTCCTGCTGTTTAACTTCAAACTCCTAAGTGATGCATTGGTTTTTCCTGTTGTTTAACGGCAGAATTTTGATTACTTAGAGAATGCAAGGAAATGAGTTTATAAAATGGCCGAATGCAAGGAAATGAGTTTACAATTCACTAAAAACGGAAATATGCAAGGAAATGAGTTTATGTCGTTTGTAAAACAAGGAAATGAGTTAATTCTCCCTTAAACGTTAGCCATCGGAATGTTTTTTTTCATCACATTACATTAAAAAAAAATAATTATGGTTCAGGAAAAAAAAAGAACAGTGTCTGAAGATCATGTCTGGCATGTCTGGCATGTAGAGCTATTAAAGCCAAGCCCCGTAGTGGCAAGTTATTGGCAATTCCCCGGGTGTCAATTTTTTCTCATTTTCCCATCTTTATTTCTCAACTCCCCCCCCTCCACACAAAAAACGAGCAAATCCTAAAATATTTCTATTAGTGCTCCTTACTACTTGGGATATAAAATCAGTGCTTACTACTTGAGAATTAGTAATATTAGTGCTTACTACTGGATCACCTCCATTACTACTTACTAGTTGGGATGCCATAGTAGTGAAAACTGCAAACTGCTGGGTCGTAGTAGTAAGGGGGTTCTGTTGGTGCTGCTCTCCTCTCACTTTCAACCAAGACCACTCTGCTCAAGAAGCAAACCATGACAACTGGTCCAGACTAGAAGACTCCTCCAAAACGGCTTTGTGTTTGAAATCTATGTCTTATCTTCCAAATTCAGGCTTTCCTGCTCAACTTTACATTGACAACAAGCCTCAACTGAATAGCCCTTTAACCTCCTCACAATTCCCTACTGGTGGAGCACTTGCAAAACCACCAACAATACCTCCAGCATGTGGTGTTGACTCTGATGACAACCAATCCCTCACAACCATGTCTCATCCAGCCCCAGGTGCCATCTGCAGAGCCACATTTGTCCTTGCAATCTCATAATCTGCACCAGCAAGTATTCACCCCCAGCCTGTGTTGGAAGCCACCCTGCTTCTCAAAATTGACTTTCCTGACACCACCACTGCTGTTTGCAACCAGTCCATGTGCAATGAAGATATTCACCACACCACTGCCATGACTGTCTCAACTCCTCCTCTATTCTGTGACTTCATCCTTCCAACCTCACCAACCATTGACTTGCACCAAGCTCACAGCACCACAGCACCCAGACAGTACAACCAGCAATGCCGCATCCAGCCCCAACCTGGCCAACCTAGTACCACCAGACCCTGCCCATCCTCATGCAAGATAGTATCAAGAAAGACCTCACCAGTGGTACCACCACCAATGAAGAAGCCTCCGCTCAAGGCAACAACAATACCACGGTCAATTCAGTGCTCAGCACCAGCAACAATGACAATGGTGATAGCAGCAATAATAGCTCAAGCAATGGCTCTAAAGCCCCTAACCCAGAGACCCCACCCAGCAGCACAATGCCCCAAAACAGCCTCCTGCTGATGATGACAGTGCACAATTTCCGCACAGCTTTCCTTAGCTACTACCACAGTGCCAACCCACATCTGCTTGAGCACTATGTGGAGTACTCCCACCTGATGTTGTAGAAGTGCACCACCCTTGCTGCCTGATGTCTTGGCCCATAGTACACCAGCAGAGTGCTGGTGGTGGTGAGGACCCACCACACCCACTTCAGAGATGGCACCAACAAAACCTACAGGTTGGTGGACCACACTACCCACCCCTTGGCCACCACCCTTGGCCCACATCCAGATGCCTCAAAGGCAGCACAAAGCATCCTCCCCGACCATCTCACCTTCCACCAACTCCTCCTTGTCCCCAACTACTTTTGCTGGCAAGGCGACATTGGGCAATTCCCGTGAATCTAGATGGTCTACTTTTTGACAGACAGACAGACAGACAGACAGACAGACAGACCAAAAATAGACAATCTAGTCCGAAAATTTAGACTTTCTGTCAACGCACCATCCACACTTGACAGAAAGTCTAAATCTAGACCGGAATCCAAGAATAAAAATCCGTTGTAGGACTCAAAAAAAGGTGCCTGTGCGCGCTCTTTTGAATACAGTCTTAGTCATTTCTGTTTGAGATTCCAAATTCCTTTGAGACCAGAAAGAGCGCCTAAAAAATGTCCGTTGGGCCCCTGTTTTTAATGATTCCCGTTAAACTAAAAAGTCTAAAGGGTCTACTTTAGATTTTTAGACCATCTAGATTAACGGGAATCGCCCATTACTAGTCAAATCCTATTTGTCGTTTCTTGTTCGCACAAATACCAGTACGTACCGTACGCTGCACCGTACAATTATGAGCACGTCCAAAACTCGATTCTCAAAATCCCTCCGACATCAAAGGACAAACGAACAATACAGTGGAACCAACCGGTATGGTGATTGAGGGCAACAAGAATTCATCCAGTCTGTAGCACGGATTACGATAGAATTATCTCTATGATAACTAATGCCAAATTAAAAGGACATGGAGCGGCTGTCCTTTGCCTGGACCTATCGTCGTCCTCGACGTCCTCGTCACTTCCGTTGTCCGGGTCTCCTTTGTTGCTGAGCGGGTCGGAGGATGGAACGGCGCGCCTCTGGGACCTGCGGGATCACAGGAGACGTGCTTGCTTATGCATAAAAGTACCGGGTGGCGGGGATGTTTTGTCGGCGGTGTTCGCTCCCCCACCTCCTGTTGCCGAGGCACTCACATCAATGCCGACGCCAAACGAAACTACCGCATTCGGTCGAGATTGCACGGTGTATCTAGGTGTAGAAAACGCCGTCTTGGAGTACGATCTGCGACACGCCGAAAGCCCGGTTCTTCTGTCGGAACCAACCAAAAATTGGGGTGAAGTATTGCAAAACCAAGACGAGGTGAACCAGATCAGCCTCGCATACTACAACAAACACAAAAGCAACAAAATATCTGGCGGTGGTGGTTCCAAAAAGAAAAAGAACCAAAAGAAAAAAGGTGGATCGGGAGGAAACAAGAAAAACCCACAGCAATATCCCAGTAGTGGCTGTCTTGATACCAAAGATTCCTTGTTTCTCGCGGCCTGCGATGATGCTGGAAAAATTCGTTGGGCGGAGTCATCGTTGTCATCGAACTATAGCAATAACAACACCGTTCCTGTTGCTGCTTGCGCGAAAGATAGCTACGAGAGCAGCAGCAGCAGTACAATACTCCATCACGACAATCACGGGGTTGCTGTTGTTCCCGCTTGTGCCTTTCGACCGATCCACAAAACGGGGAGTGGGGTCGGATCTGCTATCTTGGAACTTGCTAGCGGTGGCACGGATTGCAAGATCCAGCTCTGGGATGTGCTTCGACCAAAGTACGTAGGTTCCTTTGTTGCTTTCTGTGTGCCCAATACTTGCGGGATAAAACTACTGTATCTGCGGACATTGGTCGGGAGAAAGGGATGAAGTGTTTTTTCGATAGCAGTACGATTGGAGTACTCAATTTATTCTAATGAAATCTTTCTCGTGGGCTGATCTTTGTCTTATCCCCTTTTGGTCTTGGTTCTCTTTTTAATTGTAAATGGAACACATTTTCAGGAAACCTATTTCGACCTTCTTCATCAATAAAAATGCCAACGAAGAAGAGAGAAGCAAACCCCAAGTTTGCAATCCTCCGTTTATCTATTCTTTGGCATGGAGTAACGACGGTACGTCACTGGCTGCTGGGTTGGGAGATGGAACCATCGGAATCTTTGAAATCAATAACCGCAAGCTGGTCCAAAGCCAGCTGCTGGTAGGCAACGAATGCACCGACGGAACGATGCACTACGCACATGGGTCATCCGTTGCATCTGTTGTGTATCCTTCGTTTTCGGTTCCCACAAACGATCGAATCATGTGTTCGGCGGGGAGCGATGGGTCGATCGTTTTTTGGGATTCTGGAAAAACGAATGGTGAGCTGTGGGACGAGGATACTGAGACCAGCAGCTGCAACAACAACAAGGATGGTTCGGAAGACGCCGTCGAGCATTTGTTGCCTCCTAAATTGCTGGAAGAATTGCGAAGAGAAGGTTCCGGGACCTATCACGGCAGTGCCACCACTGCTAGTCACAAGCCACGAATTCTGTTTGATATATCTCATGACCAAAAGATCAATTGGATCACACGAGCTGCTCCATCGAACGGAGTAGCTACGGAATGCAACGATACGATATTCGTTGCTGATACATCACCAGAGATCACATCCTATACGATACCCTTGTGACAACAACGCTTTCAATGATAATACCGAGAATACTCTAGAAATGCTGAACAACTTCGTCTACTTTCACATCAACCTCATCAGTATTTACTTTTGGCACACTGTACACAAAGGGCAACAATTGAGCATAGACCTCAATGAGTAAAATTGTTTTTATTCCCCGATAAATTGAACCTTTTCAGTTCCCCTCTCTCCTATTGAAACCCATGAAATACTGATCATGCGGGCCCAATTTTTGAGCTCTCTATAAGTGAGCGCTTCTCACGGGACTCGCCACACCGTCTTCTTTCTTTACCCGTTTCTTTTTCGGTGGAGGAGGACTGGATGATCTGCTTTTCTTTGAGGCAGATGTCCCCGTTACTCCCATGCGTTGCTTGCGTTTTCGTTCTGTCACAATTGCATGAAGTTTTGCTGCTTTCTTGTAAGATAAGATCCCGTAGTTCAGGCACCTTTGTTTCGATTGAAAACAAAATCAAAACATACCAAGAGAGAGAGGGCAAGCCCAGCGAAACGAATAATTCTGGTGAATGAGTATGATGTTGAAATGCAACAGTCCATTGCAACTGATTTGAAAGCGCGTAAGAACCACATACTAACGTGCTTCCAGTTGGAAGCAACAATGACGAGACAAGCATACATAAAAACTTCTGATGGAACAAAGTAGCATCGATTGGATCTCACCAGTCTTGTGCCATTTCACTTGTTTGCCGCTGCTTTAGTAACGATTCGTAAAAGACTCTGTCACCAAACCCTGGCGTCGGAGTAGGATACTTTTGTCCGGGCTTCAGCGGTGGCATTCTCCGAATGTTCTATTCCAGAATTCTTTGTTATTCCTACGGATTTGATATGTGTCTCCTATCGACCTCTTTGTTGGGTCAACAGCAGAGAGCGGTTACAAAAAACAATTGTAATGGAACAATGGACGTAAAGAGGAAGTGTTTTTTGTACCGCAGTACGGTACGTACACGTACGTGCGAGTATGGTATCGTACTCGTAACGAACAAACTCCAGCCCTAAAACAGGTGAGAGAATACGGAACAGACGAAACTCGTCCTGAGAAAACCCTGCTACAGTACTACTCGTACCCTAATGGAAATCACAACTTTTCCGTAACCAAAAACAAATACGGCACTGTAAATTACCGTACTGTAACAGAAAGAGGAGGCAGGTGGTGGGTAAATAACTTCAGTCTCTGAGATAAGATAGTCAGGCACGACTATGGTACTCGTACCGGTATCTTTGCTTCGTTACTGTATTTCGGATAAAGAACGGTAACAACCGCGGAGTGTTTAATTAAAATTATCGGTTTGACTCTTTTCTTGGTTCGTGTAGCCTGGATCTGGTCTTGCCACTGCTTGCACTAAGAAATATGAGATTTCAAAAAATACACCTACAAGTACAGTTCTTGCTCATTTATTTTTCCTCGGAAATATATCGTGATGCAGATCCTGTCAATATGCAGTATGATGCATATCAAATCCAATTGTAGAAATCAAATTGATACATTCCCAACGTCCTATCGACTGATATCGAAATTTAAAACACGATCGGCTGCAATTTTCTTTGTACCAAACTAGTCGCTTCTATTCCGATCTGTGGGCCCTTCTAAGAACGCCGATTTCCCTTCCCCTTATTTCTTCGGATGCGCCGGTGGAAGTTTTTCTTTCGTCATTCCCGATGCCCATTCTGCTGTTTCCTGAGTATATTTTTCTTCTTGTAGTTCCTTTTTTCTCTTCTTGTAATAACGAGATTTCTTATGATCTGCAAGTGCCTTTGCGTCGGTGAAATGTTTTGCCGTCTCTACGCAGTAAAATTGTCCGCCACCAGGCAGTTCATCGTCGTATTCAAATGAAATGGGCTTTCCCGTTTCCTCGGCCTTTTCTATTTCATCTTGAATTTGATCCCTGTCTTTTGCTCGATTACACAGCCAAGTTGCTCGCTTGTACTTTTTGATCTTTGAGCGTGACCCCTTTTTTTTGGCTGATGGACCTGTTCCCATGCTAAATTGATGCGAAATTTAACTCGATGTGGTAGCTGTATGGCAGTTCGTTGCAAAAGTCGTGTTCATGCGGTTTTGCTCTGTAGCGGAATTTGTTCGTTGTCGAGTCAACGTCCTGATTCACCACCTACCGGTACCGTACTTTAATGTTGAAAATTACCTAGAAAAATCATGTTGAATAAGGTTGAAAGACTGGTTGGTGCTCAATTCGTATTTTGCCTTACCGAACGCATGGCGGACGGCTTTGTTTGGAGATTCTGAGTCGTACGAGGTAGGAAGGCAAATGAGGCCGTGACAGGTCCGGAGTCAGTACAAATCGTACACGGCTCTACGGAGGGAACAATAGGCTTCATTTGCCTTCCCAAGTTCAACCTGTCACGTTTTAATAAAAATCATTAAGTATTTTTATATCGAAATATTTGGTAGTACTAATTTGTACGTAGCATGCTACGAAAACTTTATTTTTAAAAACACTTGTTGGTTGATTGATCCGAGAATTCCAGATCCCCTTCTTATTATTATAACAATGAAGTGTTGCCAGGAAGTGTCCCCAATTGCTCTGTCTGGAGGGCGTGACAACCCTCATGCTGGTTTCTTTTTCTGACTAGCAAAAACTGCATAGTTTTTATGTACTCATAACCTATTTCACTTTCTGGCAACACATTTGCCTTCCTACCTCGTACTTCCGCTGTCCCATACTAATGGGTCATTCCTGTAAACACATACCTTGTGCACCTTTAATAGCAGAATAAGCTCAATATTTGGGCAATTGGAGTGCTTCTTTTTGTGCTCAAGAGATCAATTATAAATGTACACAGTTATGATGATTGCATTAAGTGAAAGTGTCTGACATACTTGCATTATTTGCTTATACAGGGCCTTTTTTGGTATATCAATGTGATTTTACTACTTGGGTTCTACTAGTACTGGTAGTACTAGTACTACTACTAGTAGTAGTACTGGTCATTTAAGCATGTGAGTTGCAGCTACTACTACTATGATAGATAGCTAAGATTGGGAGCTTTATCATGATATTCTTGTTATATTTGTGGAAAATGTTCCTGTATTGGTCATTCTTGTCCAAAAGAGGTGCACTGAACCATTGTCAATATATTGTTTCCTGTGTTAATAGGAGGAGACTGCTGTTTAATTTCATAATGTGCAAAAATAATTTTTATTCACCATGTGCATGCTCCTTTCTAGTCTATAGTACAGATTCTACAGGTTCTACACAGTCATGCCTAAAAAAACTTCAGTATAGATGTGGACATAGTAAATTGTTGGGACAACTGTAAAGGTGAAAACTGTAAAATTATCATAGTGGGACAGAGGAAGTAATTACATTTAATTTTCAGTCGTGCACACATAAAAGTATATATTTTTGACACAGACACATAGATTTTTTGTTCACACACCAGGCTCCCATCAACCCAAAAAAAGTTGCAAAAGTATGTACACACATACTTGTTTTGAATCCAGGATTCAAGTTTTTCAAATCATGAAGAGCCAGGGGAGCCAAAAATGGTGCGCCAAAACAAATCTACTAAAGAAGTGTCACTGAAGTGTGATATTGTGTTCTCAAAAGCAATCCCAACAAGTGTTAAAATAGGAAAAAGATAGCTGAACAAGATAGCTGTAGCAGCATTAAGTGAACCTTTGTGTAGTCCTGACAAGAACCACACAACAACAAGGTTCATTGAAAAAGGACCATCATTGTGTTGCTAGAATTGATCATCCTTTGCTTAGTAGCTCTCCACTATGAGCTAGTAGACAAGTAGGACAATTTTATCTCCAGAAGAGGAGAGGCATCATAAGGATACCAGGAGAAAACATTATATAATCAGGAGATACAATCAGTCTCCATTTCTCCACTTGTTTAGATCTGGCAATGAGTAAGCCCTTCTTCTACACTGTTGTGGTGTAGACCACCACCGGGTCTTCAGAGGTCTCCTTGCACTCTATGGGCCAGTATTCAACATGTAAATGGTTAACAAAGCAACCAGCTGTATAAGAAGAAGAACTTTTCACAGGAATAGAACAATACCAAAGGGATGACATAGGGGGAAGTAAATGCCGTGGGGGTTAGTGTTGCACTGGTTCTGCACAAGTGGTACATTAGCAAGAGGCCTCTCCATAGCGTTTGGTCTTACTTCACCAGTCATGTACAAATGGATCAAGAAGTTCTCCAGGTCTGTCCTCCTCTTTGTCTTGCAAGAACATCCTGATGCAAGAGTCAGAGCTCCTTCCAGAGAGGATATCTATGCTTATATTTTAGCTATTGCTGAGAAATACCCACTCCTTGGACAGCAAAGGGTCTGGGGTGCTGCAGATGGCCTGAAACTTGGATTGCACACCTCCTAAAACTGGGCAGTACAAATTATGTACTACAATGGATGGACATGTGATATGTGTGTCAATAGCATCTTTGTCTTTGCCCTACTGGTGCCCATGATCTTGACATGAGAGCAATACTATGTCTTAGTAGTATGGAGTGCATAGTAGGAAGATGAAGGACATGAATAACATGCATGGTGCTAAAGTGGTGGTTGGTTCAGCATTCAGCATGCTTGGCGAGCCATATCTTGTCAGGAGCATGCAAAGGGATCCGCAGACCCCCAAGTAGCTAACCAAGTGCTGCTAGTAGAGCTGCTATTGATAAACTGACAAGCTACATCACTGAGACAGCTGTCTGAGTGGGGCATGAGGATGATCCAAGGACAGTTTCCAATGCTGAAGGACAGGATTAGGATTGAGGACCATGGTGAAAGGAAAGTTCTCTTAAACACATTGATCTTGTTGTACAATTATCAGGCCAGCACTGTAGACATCAATCAGATCCTTAGTTTGTTCATGTCCAATGAGCAACACAAAAGGGGGTTCTTCTCCCATCCTACAACACTAGATGAGGATGAAACAATTAGTTTTGGTGAGAGACACAACAACAATACAATCATTCACCAATAAATTGCAACAAAGATACATTTCAATAATGATACACCAATAGTATACCAATACAACAATACAAACAACAAAGGACAAATCCCATGGTCAAACCTACCATTTTCAATTAATCAATACAGCAGCACAACAACTAAGACACATTGAACAAACTAATTTGTATCAGCAAAGGGAGCAACAGAGGGAGCTACAATTGAGTTGGTGAGCAAAGAGCAAAGCTACCTGTTATACTTTATTAAGTTGGATTTTGAACACAATACTTCATGTTATTTGAAATTTTCAAAGTTTCACATGGTCTGTTGAAGCGTTGAAGCATTCAGACATTAAATTGAAAGCAATAGCAAATATACATGTTGAATAATCAAATGATTGCAAAATTCAATCAATAAGGGGCAGGAATAAAAGCAATAACAAGAAATATATGTTTTGGATATACTCAATAAAAGCAAAGCAATAAGAAATACACATGTTGGATAAAAAAATGATCCCAAAATTTGGCAGGAAAAAAACAAGCAATAAGATATACAGTTTGGATAAACTGAATAAAACCAATGCATGTTGGAGTATTCTTATGCATTGTTAGACTTAAAAGAAAAGTTCAAAAATAAGAAGGACACAATAATGTGTACTAGTCACTGTATTTAATTCACTTGCAAGCATCCCCCATAATCCACCAGCAGTCAGTGCAAACCAAATCAGTTGATCAGTAATGAAAAAGATTAGATAAATCAAGTGTAGTAAATTATAAACACAACAATGAGATTCTTCTAATTGGAATCTGATGCAGAATTGTCGCTGCTGCTGTGGCAACACTTGTTCCTCTTGTGGTTGCTGGGCTTTGGGGCTGAAGTGCTGCATGGTAATGGTTACAAGTGAGCCAAGAGTGCTTCCAATTGCCTGGTAGGCTTCCTTCCTTTTATCCCTAGCTCTCTCAGTAGCTCTCTTATGCTGAGCAACAACTTGCTCAGAAGGTATTCACAATGCCACACTTTGCATTGGCAGTGTTGTAAGAACTGACTTTGGGGGGCTCTCCTTGGAGTTGATAGAGCTCTTGCAGTTGCACTTGCATCAATAACTGCAACTGCAACAGCTGTGCCATTGCTAGTAGTCTGGATCCCTTCCTGCTAAATAAGTTCTTCTTCTTGTGAATCTTCTGTTTCTTGCAAAGCTTGATGGAGTTGTGGAGGCACTTCCTTATTGTTGTTGCCATTGTTGTTGCCAAGACTAACATTGCTGTTATTGCTGCTGCTGTTGCTGCTGCCAGGAGCTTGATGATCACCCTCAGGATCACCATTCTGACCTTCAGGATGCACATATTATTCTTCAACATTACTAAAGTGCTCCTCTCTATCTTTAAGACTTGGTCCTCTTGGCCAGTCTCACTGCCAAAGGACAGTTTGGATCAACACTAGCAATATTTTTTATTACTGCTGGGATGAATACTTCCTATGGATAGAGCTGACATCCCTATTGGCATGAGGATAGTTCTGAGCATGAGTTTCTTCTAGTACTTCATTCCACTTATCAGTTCCAATAGGAAGCCTTTCCAAGATGGCATACATCAAGTCAATGGTTTTCCTGAGTGGTATGGTTGCTGATTCCACACCTCCTAGCTCCTGCTGGTGGCACTTGCTGCTGTTGTGCTAAAACCATCTTTCAGAGTCAATGTGGTTTTTGTGTCAGAATCTATGTTGTTTTTTTTGTGTCAGGAATCAATGCAGTATACTTCACGCAATTTTACTACATTCCAACAAGCAGCAGTTCCTCTGTGGGGTTCTGGGGGTTCTCATGAGGGTTCTCAACTTTTAATTCTTGCTGAGATTACTCCATCAGGGTTCTTCTTTGTTGTCACCATTGTCCTTTTAGTGAGGCTGTTAGCTAGTAGTAGAAGATAATGATTCTGGTGGACTGTTTACTGTGTACTTTGGAGGTTATTACAGTGAGCTACTTGTGGTTCACCTGGTGTTTTGGATTTGTTTCCATTTGCTTGCTGGCACCATATGTTCTCAATACTTAGTATTTTGGCGTGCTTGTTGTTGGCAACTACAAAGGCAGGAAGAATCCTCGTCCTATTATGGTCATATTAGCACAGGTGCCATAACTAATCCAT